GCTAATGCACGATAAAGTGCAGTTAGCCTTGTTGATCACTTTGTCACATTGATGTCTCATGTTCTTGTTGGAGTCAACTATGACTCCAAGATCCCTTTCCTCTTTTGTGCTGCTGAGAAGGTCATCCCCCAGCCTGTAAGCGTGCTGGTGATTCCTTCTCCCTAGGTGAACCACTTTGCGCTTATCTTTGTTGAACTGCATCCTATTCTGTTCTGCCCACTTATCCAACCTGTCCAGATCTGCCTGGATCCTTTCCCTATCCTCTATTGTTTTAACTTTACCCCATAATTTGGTACCATCTGTGAATTTGGACAGAGTGCTTTCCATGCCCTCGTCCAAGTCACTGATGAAGACGTTGAATAGCACCAGTCTAAGGACCGAGCCTTGCAGGACTCCACTGCCCACATCTTTCCAGGTCAATATCAACCCGTCCACCCCCACTCTCTGGGTACGACCCCTAAGCCAATTTACCACCCACCTGACTGTAATCATCTACATCACCGCCTGTCAGTTTATTTACAAAAACAAAATGAGATACTGTATTGAAGGCCTTCTTAAAGTCTAGGTAGATGACATCTGCCTTGACTCCTGTGTCTAACCATTTTGTGACCTGGTCATAAAAAGAAACAAGGTAAGTCAGGCAGGATCTATCTGCAATGAATCTGTGCTGCTTTCCTTTCAGCATTATTTCCCCTGCTGGGCTTCCACAAATGTGATCCTTAATGATTTTTTCCAGAGTTTTCCCAAGGATAGCAGTGAGACTAACTGGCCATAGAGATGAGACTAACTAGCTGTCAGATTTGGCATTCCCCCTCACCCCCCCCACCCCGTACTGTTACTATACTGTTAATTTTGTAATAAGTGTTCATGGCACACATCTGCTTTGGCAACACAACACCAACCACCCAAGTATCAGTCCACCTCACCGCCACCACCACCAACTGCAATCACCAGTCACCCAGGGTGGAACCCGCTACTCTCACCCACATATATTTCTGGTATGATATATACAATTAAAAAAAAATCATATATACATTTACATTACTTCCTAAATGCGGGGAGAGGAGGGGATGACGCACATGACTTGGCATTGGGATTGCCATGGGGTCGCCTCCTGGAAACCAGATGAAGCCTAAGGGGGTGCAAGTGGTGTGCAAGTGGCAGGGTTTTGAGGTGGCCACGGTTTGGTGGGGGGGGGAACGACAGGGGCTTAGTGTGAGGCTTCCAGCAGGGGGCGGGGACTGTGGATGATGGTTTACTGGTGCACAGGCGCCTCCTGCTGTAATTCATTAGGAAATACATAACTGGGGGTAGATTTGTATTTGGCTCCCCCTGCTGGAATTGGCAGGGAATTGCACATGGGACTTGATTCATTCAAAAGCGTTCAAACACAAACCCGATGTGCAAAAATAAACCAGTTTAAAAATTTTAATGCTCATTAAATTAATGAGGATTAAACACCGTGGCATGTACAAGCACCCCATCAGTGCAGTTTTCAAGTTCTTTATTTCTGTCAAGTGCTCTTCTTTCCACATCCCAGGGGCTCCTTTCTTGAGCAGCTTGTAAAGTGGTGCTGCTTTATCTGCAAAATTCTCAATAACATTGCATAAAAATCTGACTAATCCTAGAAGTGATTGTAACCTAGTGATATCGGTAGGAGTCAGGAACTTATGTATTAGTGCTGGACAGTAGTCCTTCCTGCTGGGCTCAGTTCCAGTCCTAAATACTTGATAGTTTGTATCACAAGCTGTGCTTTTTGCAGATTAACTTTAAAACTAGGCCATGAAAAGATTTCAAGTACTTTTCTTGTGTGATCTAAGCAATCATGTCTTGATACCCCTGTAACTAATAGGGCTGTGCGAAGCTTCAGTCCCTGATTTGATTTGGCGGAGATTCGGCCTGATTTGGTAGCTGAATCTCTGAATCCAAATCAAATCAGAGGACCCTTTAATCTCTCCAAATCAAATCGAACCGTACAAATCAATTCAGAGAGATTCGGAAAGATTTGGCGATTTGGATATAGACACAGCTTTAAATGTTTTTTCTACATAGCTCAAGGTAGCAGGCAGCTCGTAAATGCTGCAATGCTGGGGTGGATGGAGTGTCCCACAGGAGTAGTGGGGGCTCCCCAGTGCACTCAGCAGCAGACCCAGAAGTGGACCAGAAGCACTTCCTGTCCACTTCCAGGTCCACCGGGAACCATGCTGGGGGGGCCCTACACACCCCTCCTGGCTCAGCGACTGGTGCTTCCTGGGTCTGGGAGGGGGCACCCGGGGTACCCCCATGGCCGATCGCTGAGCCAGGGGGGTGCAGGGGGCCCCCTGGCAAGCTCCCTGGCAGACCGGGAAGTACTTCCAGTCCAGTCACTGCTTGGTTTACCACTGAGCACGTGGAAGGCCCCCCTGCACTCCTGTGGTACGCTCCATGCGTCCCAACATTGGAGCATTCATGAACCACCTGGTACCTTGAGGTATGTAGAAAAAACATTTAAAGCTGTGTCTATGTCTGAATTGCTGAATCTCTGAATCAGCATCAAATTTTCAGATTTGGATTCAGCCTAATTGAATCAGGGACAGTGATCCGAATCAACAAATCAAATCACTGTCCCTGATTTGGTCCGATTCCGAACCAAATAGGGTCTGCTTTGCATATCCCTAGTAACTAAAATATCATCAAGATACGATATCACATTTTCACGATCATGATTATTCACAGTATCCCACACTCAATTTACAAATTCATGACAGATAATCGAGAAATTATGGAACCCTTGGAGCAATCGTGTGCAAGTGTATTCTTGACTTCTAAAAGTAAGTGCAAATTTATACCATGATTCTTTGCTTAGTATTCCAAAGAATATGTTCAACAAATCCAAAACATGGAACCAAGTTATACCGCTAGTGATTGCAGCTACAACTTCACCAGCTCTTGCATAGGAAAACCATCAATATCCTTTCTGTTCTCATATTTCAAGAGCTTCTTCCACACTTCATCTCACAAGCTGGTGGACATCTTTCTGGGCCTCTGATACACCTTCTGGTATCTGTATTTGCTGGTCATGATTGGAATTCTCCCATTCTGATCCTACCATGGAATCAGCATGATCTGATTCCTTTTGGAAGCCTTTATACTCCTTCACAAAGGAAACTCTAGGTTTCCTATCTGAGTCTCCAGCTTCTTTAAATTTCTGGCTGTCTCTCTTCATAGTTATATTTCCTTTTGTAGCTATGATTATCATCGCTCTCCATAGACTTTCTACCAGCTGTATTCACTACTAAAATCTTGCCACACTTTTGTTCACATAAACTTTGCTGATTTATCTCATAATCATTTCTTGCCATTAGATCTCTAATTCTAGCTCTGTGGCACCACCACCCAAACACATTCTTACAGCAGCTGTAAATCCTTGCAAAAGAGGTTCTTTAAAACTCCTCAAATCGGAGTTTAAAAAGTTGGCAACTTATCAGCTATATACAAAAGTTTTCTCTTTCAGTATAGGCTTCCAGCCTCTCAGTGGACAATTGCCACTCTTCATGAAATAGGATGACAGTGGGCTTAACCAGAAAATACAGGTCCAGCACAACATCTCTAATATCTTCAGTGTCATTTATGGACCTATTACGAATTCTGATAGGCAGAGCTACAAAATCCTTATTCTCTATGCATTCCTGCAGGAGATCAACCATATCAGTAGCCATATATTGCAAACTCGTAACTGGAGTGACATCTGCTAGCCATGTTACTGTTGTCTCTCTTTTTAGTGGCCCTAATTGCTTGCCGATCACTCTCAGCTATTCCAAGGTGAAGGGTGCAGTAGTCTGCACAGTTTCAGATTGCTGCTGTCCTCTTGCTCCAGGCTGAATTGCTTCCTTTGTACAAATAGCTTCCATAGGGGCAGATGGCATTTCCCTAGGCAATTTCACAGGCTGCTTAGGCAATGGAACAGCAATCCCAGCCAGCTGTGCAGGCAGTTCTGTCACCTCTTGATCCTGTCACAATTCAAAACAGTCTCACTACTAGAACAGCAAATCTCAATATCACTGTCGATATCACTAGCACTACCTGCCCCTCTGAAGGACAGGCAGCATACCTCTCACCACAGACAACTTGGTATCTAGACTTGAATTAATTAGGGTTTTTTTGCATTCTCAGTGGTCAACTTCTGATGGTTCCATACAAGACTCCTGTCTTGTGACTCTAAATGCGGCTTGTAAATCCAGCACTTTGTTGTGCCAAGACCTTTTTTCTCTACACTCTCAACCTCCTGATCAAGACTGCTGACTTTCTTTTCCAGCTCTCACATCCATCTAGCTATTTGCGTGGAGAGCACACATTTGGCTTTTTAGTCACTCTATTCCCAGGTCTTTTCTCTTCATCATGTCCTTTACAGACTGATCAGGCCATTTGATCTGTGCCACTCTCTCTACCTCTTGCTTTCTTTTCTAGGAAACTCCCTGTTGCAAGCAAAAATGCCAAGGACTCCTGCCTTCTTCATCTGTTTTCTAGATCGTTTTCCCTTCTCAGTCCATTCCAACCACTGCTTTGCAAAGCATTCATAAGCCTGCTTGTTGTTTCACCAGCAATGTGTCCTAAAACTGGAGAGCCACAAACAGGCAATGCCAAAAGTCCTACTTAAGGACAGATGGCTTGAGCCAGTCTCTGAAGTCTTCAGTTGCCAAGCTCACACTTTCTATGCTATCCCTAACAGACTGCATCCTGATAACTCACAAGGTGAAGGAAACAGTATGAAAATGCATATGCAGAACAGGATTGTAGCAGAGCACTAATGTGCAGAGCACTAATGTGCCTGCTCCTTTAAGGGCAGAAGCAGCCTGGCCAGAAAGCCCTGCAGGCTAGGCAGAGCTCCACAGCTACAGGTTGCCTGAGCAACAGCTTAATTGGCCAGCACCTGCAGGTGGTCAGATGACTGGAAGGAGGCAGGGCCCTGGGGACATAAAAGCTCAGGGCTGGAGCTGGCAGCGCTCACGTTCTCTTTGGAGACTATGAAGGGAAGGAAACTGGCCTTAGAGAGCTACCCAGAGACATCTGGCAGCCTGCTTTGTTGCCCTACAAGGACTAAGGGATGGGCTCCACCAATCAAAATGAAGATTTGCTGAGACCAGGATGTGCCGGCCGGGCTGAATCGGTAAGTCCGCCACAACAGGGAGATACAGTACTACACACACATCACAGTTCACACGACTCAGGACACAGCCAGGCAGCACAGCGCATTAACAAATCAGCACGGACACCACCATGCTCACTTTACACACCTCACACATACCCACAGATGGGCCAGACAGCAGGTTTTATCCTCTCCAATCATACCTCTCTCTCAGCCAATCATCCTAGGTAAAGATCTGTCAATCGCAGTCAATCATGTGCTTACCAATCACCTTTACTCTCTCTCATACATTACCTGTCAATCAATCCATCTCTCTCCTTTACCTCAGAATCTGCACCCCACATTCAAGCCAATCTTACTGGCATAACTGCATGTGCCCAAGCCTCTTATCTAGGGCAGCAGGTTGAAAGTTCAATCTGTTCCAGATTCTTCTCTTGGTTACTCTTTCTGTGCATGCATAACATTTAATTGTTTACCTGCTTTAGGTGTGATCAGATACTGGAACCAAAACTTACCGCGGCTACAATGCAAACAGGCAGAACCCTCTCTCGGGCATCGAATCCTCAGGAATACAACTACTTCATCATTCTGTTACCTCCTCCAGGTTCCTATCCACATCCAAATCCAATCAAAACTGATTCGCAGTTTTTACAATGCTCCACGGCTTTACTTCTCTACTCCTCTGCTTTTCTGTTCACCCCTACCTATCTGTCTTTTGCCTTCTGCTTCCCCAGTCTTAACTTCTTTGTCTGCTCCATATAACTCAGTTCCTGCAGAGCCAGTATAAATATTTTGTATGTAGCACCCTCTGTAACTAGATCTCTCTCCCTCCCCCACCCATTCCTCTTCAATTCTCCCCTTATAACTATACATTTACTTTAGCATATTAGTGACTCTAAGACTCATTCCCAAAGGCCTCAGGAAGTCTGATTCCATTTAATCTTGACTGTGAGGAATTAACTGACATCACTCTGACCATGAGGGACTAGTTAGGTTAACTAGGGTTTAATTAATCATGACTGGCTGATCCATGAACTCAAATTATCCTTTTATCACTTTGTTTTCCCTATGAAATATCTCCTGAAAATGATGCTTAAGGACAAGAATGATCTGGTTGTTGTGAACAGTCTCTATGATTAATGTGCATCTCTTAAACATTTGTGAATTTCAACTCCTTCCTTCACTCTGCTCCAGATCCTGTTCTCCAACTCCATGTCCTAGTCAAGAAACAGCAGCGGAAGATTGCTATGTGCATCTCTCTAAAGTACTTTGTTTTTGTTTTCTTATTGGAAAGCATATAGCAGGTTTACTAAATACAGCAACATTCAAACTGCTTGAGATATGTGTACTGTCATTCTGAAATGGATTCCACTTTTATTCAGTTTTCACACTCAATCAGCCCATTTTTAAAGCCACTAATTAGTCCCTTTCAGACTCAGAAGGGCTTGTTTTTAAATAAAATTTGTTTATTGCAACCAGCACAACTTGCAGCTGTGAGCAGTTTTGTAGCCAAATAATCATTTTAGCACAATTTCATGAATACACAAAATGACACCAAAGAAAATGTTCATAAGTCAAACAGTTTTTTCAAAGGCCACTGCCAATGAGTCAATAGAAGAGAGTCAGTAGAAGTCCAGTCAGACTAGCTGAGGAAGGTTAGGTACAACAGCACCTATCCCTGTCTCCACGCCCATCATCATCATCATCATCATCATACTATGTTGGGGATAGAAGGACTTGTAGTTGCCATTCAAAGTTGGACGCTATTTATTTCCGTAATGCCACTGGAATGTATGTGACCTTACAGACGATAGAAAGGGAAGGTCCCTCCCCAGGAAGGCTGAAGTCTTAATTCAGTGTATAAAATCAAGGGAACAGGAATACTTAGCAAAATGCTATGTATTAAAAAAATCAGGACATTTTTTTCCTTGTTTCATGATTTCTTTTGTGCAGGGGACCAGAAGAGAAAACTCTGATCAGATAAGGAAAGGGAAGAGACGGGGCTTGAGGGAAGGCTTATCAATGGAAAGCAAAATGAAAGCAATTCTTTTGAGGAAGGACAGTGAGGAGCAGTTTGGTGTAGAAGAGGAGAGAGGCTGTTCCAGGTAAGGAGGTTTGGCACAGAGTCATGAGTGAGAACAGATGAAACAAAAAGGTAAGGAGCTGTTTGGAAGGAAGAACACACAAAAACAACAGCTAAAATAGGATGTGTGTGATGCCCACTGTGCACTTGAAGGCACTCAGGATTAGGAACCTGGTACACTAGGAGAAGGAGATAATTGCAGATAATACACACTCCTTCTGGCCTTCTAAATATTCCTTGAAATTGCAAGACTGCCAGATACTTACTGTGGCCTCCTCTGAACTCAGGCTACTAAAATGCACATCAGTTAAAGCATGATAAGAGCAGAATTCAGATGCCTCTCAGCATCACAGTACCCCAAGTTTTTTCTGGCTAATTTGAGATGTTCTCTTCAGCAACATAACAGTTACATACTGACCCAATGTAATGGCAGTAGCTGAACTGAATGGAAGTGTCACCTATCTACCCTATTTGATTTGCTTCTCCTTTTTATTGTTTTCATTTAAATATTTAAACACTAAGATATTCAAGCCACACTACATTTCACCTTCCCAGAAGGAAGCAGTGTTTCAAAAAAATGTTACCATGGAAACAATGGAGCATGGAGGCAGCTAAATATGAAAGGAGGTCTCCCAATATTAAACACACGGGCATGCTTTGGGCAACCATTAAGTGAAAAAAATAATGCTATTATTGCTGAGCATGCTTATGTTATTGTTTCATTATAAATAGTGACATTTCCTCAGTCCAGCATGACAAGGCAAAAGGCATTTATTTTTTCAAAGAGTATTTGGTATGGAAAACCAACATGACAAACATTGCCATTCATTACCAAAGAATTGTATTAAGGGACAAATTTGATTCATCTTAACTCTGCAAATGATCAGTTTCCCCTGATGCTGGCTACATATCAGTATTTAGATCATGTTTTGGGACCAACTCCCTCATTAAGCTGACAGAATGTGCTTAGAAAATCTGCTCTCTCACTAACAGCCCTTTACCCCTATACTAAAGGGAGGTGGTATGCTGTGGGGGACAGAACTTTGCATGTCAGAAAGCCCTAAGCCAGTGATTCTCAACTTTATTAGACTCAAAACACCCCATGACAGATGCAGGGCACTTCTCATTAGACTCAAGCACCTCTCGGAAAATGCCTGCTTAGTTTTCACTCATTTATTGACTACAGAAAAATAGAGCACTTTTTTCTATTGCAAAGAACTCAGAAAGACCACAACAGGTCAACATGTTTTGACAATTTGGATACCTATTTGAAATCTGAGTTTCTCTTGTTAATCATGTTTGCGCACCTAATAGTAGTAACAGTGGGTGCATTTACACATGCAATTAAGGTGACAGAATAAACTTGGGTGCAGTTCATGCTATAATTAACTTCTCCTGCATGAAGAATCTGCATGTTTGCCCAGAACAGCAGCAATTTGAGCCAGGATGGAGCAGCCCCAGGCTGGTGGCAGGCTCAGGGGGTCAGCTCTGGGCTCTGGGTGGCAGTGGAAGGAGGCGGAGGGGCTGGCTGCAGCACAAAACTGCTAAAGTGCAGAGCCATGCAACAGGCAGCCCCCAGACTTTAGTACCTTTGGGCCCCAGCAGTTCCTGTCACCATCTACGCGTGCATTTTGGCGGAGTAAGTAACTGCGCCATAAGATAGTACTATCGCTGACAGTACTTTCTTATGGCAGAGTTAATTAATTTACTGTGCCCTAATACTGGTGCATGTGTAGATGGTGATGCTTTATTTGTTTGTTTGTTTGTTTGTTTGCAAATATATATAACCCCACATTCAACACTGCCAAGTGGTCCTTGTGGTTGGTGATGCTTTACTGAGGAGCTAACTAGTTAACTCCACAGTAAAGTGCATGTGTAGATGCACCCAGTGTATGGCATTTTGTGACACCCTTAAAAGAATCTCAAGATACACCAGAGTGCCTTGGCACACTGGTTGAGAATCACTGTCCTAAGCTCTACTCATTCCACTGGTTTGTATCATTAGGCAAATCTCTGCCTTGGGCTCTCCAAACCCTATTCTCCCCTTCCATTTTCAATGGAGATATAGTTATTCACTTCCATTACTAGAGTCTGGTGTCTTGACAGTTAAAGTTTGTACATTGTTTTGAACATTTAGAGCCCAATTTTGATTTAATTTAGATAGATGTGAATAAGTAGTAACTTAATTGATGTTAATGAAGTCAGACTGGTATAAAACTGATCAGAATCAGGCATGTAAAGTATTAAGGGTCAGATCCTACATTGCTCAAACTTCCCCTGCTGTAAGTGAACTGACCCTTTTAAAGTACTGGACTGAGATGCTCTGCAAAGTCTCAGCAGACTTTGGTAAAAATAAAGTTAGTATGTAGAAGTGAAAATGGGGCTGAATACAGAGTACCTCTTCCAATTATACAAATGAGTACACAAAGCCATGCTGCTGTGATGTGGATTTTAAATCATCCTTGTGGATAAATAGCAAAGCTACCTTTGTCAATCTGTCACCATATATCCTGAAACACTAATTACCTCTTTCAAGCATGGGAAGGAATAACCTGCTACAGCCAGTGCTCACATCACAGAAGAATTTCTAACATCTCTGGTGAAAGTGTTGTACACAAGCCTTGGCTCTGCTGAATTTTCTATTGTCTCCTGTGAAGGCAAGGAAAAAAATTCAGCTTTCTAACAGACTAGCCCAGTACTTACTGTTGGGCATGGGGGTGATGGAGCTTCCATAGTCATTTTCCAGACATGTAAACTGAATGAAGAAAGACTCAGTACAGGGCTGACCAACTGGTGGCCCATAAGCTGCATGTGGCCCCCAAGGAGTTAACCTGCACCCTCCAGACTCCTGGTCTAGGTGCCATTCCTTATCTGCTGCTGCTGGTCTCTGGGCTTATGTTCCTTCCTTCTGCTTCTTCTGCTTGTGCCCTGCCCCCGGTGGTGGGGGCAGAGCAGTGTGATCTGAGGGAGTCAATAGCCAGTTAACCAGGGGGACCCAGGAATCATGTGCTGTGTGGCATGGCACAGTGTACAAGCACAGCACAGCAAGGGGGTGCCCGCTGCATGGCATGATGTCGGGGGAGCGGGGAGCATATGGTGTGGTGTGCATGGCATGGGGCTACCAACATGGTGCAGAGGGGGCACCTGCAATGAAGTGTGGTGTGCAGCCCATGTGACATGTGGCTAGGGGGGCATGTGGCCTATACTATGTGTGACCAGGGGATGTGCAGCCACAGCCCCTGGCCACTAGGAAGTTGGACAGCCCTGACTTAGTTTATTATACACAAATTTGAGAGCTGACTGTGGAACCTTATAGTATCCCAAAGCTTAGTCATCTTTTTATAAGCCTGGAAGTCACTGGTCACAACTGCCCTTATTGACAAGTGTCAGGACCTCAATATGGAGAAGGTTACATTGTCTCTTCCAAGCAGTGGAGACCACTAGCTGGGATTTACTTTGTGTATAGAAGGAGAATTGTTTTTGCTTTTGCAGGTTGTGACAGAAGGGATATGTCTTTATCAAATCAGGAATTCTATCTTGTATCCTGTATTGAGCACAAGACTGAGCACAAAATCTGTCCTATGGTAGCCTGTGATACTGCATCCCAATAGCTGTCCCACCTAGGAAAAGATGCTTGGCACGTTACTAAGAGCAACCTGGTATTGACTTTGAATGATTCTCCACTGTTGGCCCAACAGTTGGTCATTGGTCATTCTGGGACCGGAGAGGAGGTGCAAGCATAACAGGCACACTAGGAGCCTCTCATTCTGAGCACATCGCAGATGGGGAAGGGAAGGGGTCCTTTAAGAGCAGGGTTGTGCTCTGTGTAGGGGTTTGTAACAGGAAGACGTTGCTTCCCATTACTTGAGAACAGTGAAGGAGGCGGCAAGGAGGTAGCAGGAAACACTGACGTCATCAGCTGGTGTCGGGAATGTTTACTGCACCTGTAAAACAAGAAAATTTGATAAATGAGAACAGGAAATGATAAGGATAAAAAGGAGAGATGAATGAGTAGTAGTTCCCTGGAAGTGGAGCCTAGAGCCATAGTAATTTGGTGACCATGCTAATTTTTGTTCAGAGGCACAAGAGCGACAGAGAGCAGCGTCTCATGAGGATCGAGGATACAGAGGCATTGCTTAAAGACAAGGTTTGGTGAACTCTAGCCAAGGTAATAAGAAATAATTAAAGACTTTGTTATAAGTTGTGGAGTGGATAACTGGACTGTAGAGACTTATCCAATTGTTCTTGACCTGAGTTGGGGGAAGAGCACAGACAGGAAAAGTAGCTGGGTTTTTTTGTTGTTCTTTTCCTTCTATGTTTTTTTTTGGTTATCATTTACGGTGGCAATGCTATGAGCGGGATGTGCCCACAAAAGCCGAGAACCATTGTATTTAGTGTGAAGTGAGTAAACCTCAGGTCTCAGAGTTGTTGAGTTAAAAGATTACTTTACAACAGCAACAATATCACAGAGTTGCCCGTGTGGTTTTGTTTTTTCTTCAATTAACTCTCAGCAAGGTGTGGCAGGTGAGTAAGCCATGGGAGAAACTCTGAATGAAAATTTTTTCTCTCTAATTGACTTAGGAATAACACTCACTCACAGATATTTGGTGAATTGGCCAGGAAACGAACATAAATGGAGAAGATGAGTGTGGATCAACAACTGCCCACAGACTGGCAACAAGCCCATACAATCACGGTTCATCTGCTGCAGGGACAGCAGGCCCAAATGGAGGAGTTAGTGAGAGTAAGGGCACAGGAGGCAGAGGCCAAGATAATTCTATCCAGACAATGGGACTTGAGCAAAAAGCTAGAGGCTTGACAGATAACCATAAGCCCAGTAGGGGAAGGAACCAGGTTACCAAAGATGGCCCTGTCTGACGTAGAAGCTTTTTTAGAAGGGTTCAAGTGGGCGGTTATTGCAGCAGGCTGGGATAGGAAAGAGGGGGATATACAACTAGGACCTTTGCTAACCAGACTTGCACAAGCAGCATATTGGGCCCTATCAAGGGAAGAAGCCAGGAGCTATGAGACCATAAAAGGGGCCATTTTATATTGACTGGAGATATCACCAGAGACTTATAGACAGAAGTTCAGGGCTAAGAAAAGACCAAAAGAATTGAGGCCTAGGATGTTAGCTCAAATATTGAATGATGCTGTGGCTCAGTGGATACAGCTGGCCAGTAAAATGGTGGAAGAGGTGTTAAACCTAATAGTACTAAAACAATTTATAAATGATTTGGAGGTGAACACCCAGAAATGGGTGAAGAGGCACCAACCTAAGTTGCTAGCCGAGGCACTGGGGTTAGTGGAAGACTATGCTAATGCCAAAATTAATCTTGAGCCAATAAGATGAGAAAGTGGTTAATGCAGGGTCACTAGGTATACAAGACAACAGGAAAAAAGGATTGAGGAGTGAAGGGGGAAGAACAAACAATATGGAAAATAAAAGCTGGGACTCATGAGAAGTAACTCGCTTTAGATGCGGGGAAAAAAGGCCACATAGCAAGATACTGCAATAAGAAAGGAGTGAATGAAGGAGTACATGATTTCCCACATGAAGAACAAATGGATTGCAGCTTTCAGAAACATAAAGGACCTTGGCAAAAGGCCAAACCCACAGTCGAGGTAAAAATAGGTGATATAATAGTGCCCGCTATAGTTGACACAGGATGCACACAGACCATATTAAGGTCAGATTAAATTCCACCTTCAGTGGGGGAATTAGGGACTCCAGTAAACATTGTTTGTATACATAGTGCTTTTTACATGTATCAGAGGAAGAGATTATGGATAACTGTGCTATACCGAACTGAGGAAATTGTGGTAGGATTAGCCGAGTCACTACACTGCCCAATGCTTTTAGGGACAGATTGGCCACACCTGCAAGAAGTGGCAGCGAAAGCAGTGGGACAGCTAAGTACCCGTGATAATGTGAAGCAAGTGGAAGGGGTTTTGGTGGGAGTGAAGTTTCAAGGGCAAGGGCCAAGGGGAGAAGAGGAGGAAGAAATAGACTTAGACTATTATTGGAGATGGCCACTTCAGGGAACTCCAAAGACAAGAACCTCTGTTTCGAAATATCTTTGGAGAAAGCTTAGCCAAGAGGGAGGAGAAGATACTCAAGCCCAGACTGGCTGAGACAACACTAAGTTTGAAGGTAAGAAGAGGAGTTTTGTACCAAATAGATAAAGGAAGTGGGGGAAGAGGTAGCCCAGATTTTGGTACCTAGACAGTACTGGTTATAACTGTTAAAAGTGGCTCCCGTGCTGCTGATGGGAGGCCATTTGGGCAGGGACAAGACAGAAGCCTGGTTGAAACAAAGAGTTTTCTGGCCAGGCCTGTATAAGATTGTAGAGCGATATTGTAAGGAGTGTCCAGAGTGTCAGAAGGTGTCAGGGTATAAACCCGCAAGAGTGCCTCTAGTGTCCATGCCATTGGCAATGCGTCTGTTTGAAAGAATAGTGTTGGACATTGCAGGACCGTTTTCAAAGAGTAATGCTGGCTATCAGAACGTAATAGTAATAATAGATTATGCTATAAGGTTCCTGGATGTGATACCTCTGAAAAACATCACAGCACCTAAGGTAGCAGAAGAGCTGATAAAGAGGGTCTCAAGAGTAGGGATACCACAGGAGATTCTGACAGAGTAAGGGAAGACGTTATGTCAGGTGTGTTATGAGGTGTCTGTCAAACCCTTAAGATAAAGCAGCTCAGAATTTCTGTATACCACTCGCAGATGGATGGATTAGTAGAGAGGTTCAACTGAACCTTGAAAGGAATGATAAGAGCATGTATTCAGGGTGACCTAAGAAAATGGGAGGCAATAATACCTCTGTTATTTTCAATTAGAGAGGCTCCCCAAGCTTCCATGTGGTGCACTTCTTCTGAATTAGATTACAGACATAAACCTAGGGGGTTGATTGATGTTATTTGTGAAGAGTTGTTGGAAGGCCTGCCAGGCAGAGAAAGATACCCACAGTTTGTACAAGACTTTCAAGAAGGATTGGAGAGGGTACAATTAGTGGCATAAGAAAATCTAGTATTTAGTCAACAGAGAGAAAAGCAGGTATATGACTCTCACACAAAGGATAGAGAGTTGAAGGAGGGAGACTGGGTCTTAGTCCTACTCCCAGATAATAGTCACAAGTTGTTATCGCAGTGGCAAGGACCTTTCCAAGTGACCAGGAAACTAGGACCGATAAACTATGAGGTACAAAGAACGAGTCCAATTAGAAGGAAACAGAATTATCACACTAACATGTTGAAGAAATGGAAAGGCAAAAAAGCTCAGCTGATTCAAGGAGAAGGAGAGGTGGGAGATTTAGATGATATAGGAGATCCAATGGTATCTGAATTTATGGTGGGAAAACCTAGGTTAGGAGAAACTGACAACTCTCCAGAGAAAAGAATTGACACGGTTGATATTAGAGTTTCCAGATGTATTTAGTGAAAAACTGGGTAGAGCGAAAGGAGTGGTGCATAGTATTGGAACACCTGAAGGTTGTATCATAAGGGATCACTAGTGATGGTTGCCACAACACTTGTGGCAAGCCGTGAAACAGGAGATCACACAGATGTTGGAGTTGGACATTATAGAGGAATCTCAAAACCCATGGAGGAATCCTTTAGTGATAGTCCCAAAGCCGGATGGGACTATTAGAGTAAGTGTAGATTTCAGGAAGGTGAATGAGGTGGCAGTGTTTGATGCCTTCCCCGTGAGTCAGATGGAGGAGATGATAGAAAAGATCGGCCAAGCTAAATATATTTCCACATTGGATTTAATGAAAGGTTACTGGCAAATACCCATGAACACAGTAGATAAAGAGAAGACAGCTTTCGGGACACCCTGGGGGTTATTTCAATTTAAGTGTATGCTGTTTGGCTTACATAGAGCAGCAGCATCCTTTCAACACTTAACAGATAGGACGTTAGCTCCCCATCAAGAGTATGCATCAGCATACGTTGATGATATCATAATTTTTTCTTCTAGTTAGGAACAACGTTGCCAGCACCTAAGGTCGGTACTGCAGGAACTCAAAGAAGCAGGTTTGACTGCTAATCCTAAGAAATGTAGTTTGGGTCAGGAAGAGGCAACATATCTGGGTTTCCAAGTAGGACAAGGGCAGGTGAGATTATTGGCAGATAAAGTGGAAGCAATAAGGAGATACAAAATACCCAAGACACTGAGGCAACTCAGGTCATTTCTAGGTTTTGCCAACTATTATTGGAGATTTATTGGACGCTTTTCTGAAGTCGAGGCACCTCTTACAGACATGACGAGGGATAAGCCTAGACGATTACAATGGTCAGATCAAGTGATGAAGGCTTTCGAGGAGCTTAAGTGCTTACTTTGCATGGAACCAGTTCTATATACGCTTAAGTTCCAGGAGTCCTTTTTCCTACAAACAGATGCGTCAGGGTGCGCAATGGGAGCAGTATTGTACCAGAAAGTACAGGGAGAGGAGAGACCAATAGCATATGTCAGTAAGAAATTTTCCAAGGCCAAAACACAATACTTGACCATAGAAAGGGAATGCCTGGCTATAAGGTGGAAAATAGACTTGTTCTGCTACTACCTTTTAGGATGGAAATCTCTGCTGATCACCAATCACACACTCTTAAAATGGTTGCAGATGGTGAAAACAGATAATGCCCGCATAATGTAGCAGGCACTCACATTACAACTGTTTCATTTCACGGTAGAACATCGAGCTGGCAAGAAAAATGAAGTAGCAGACTTCCTATCCCGATCCACAACTGCAGGAGACTGAACAAGTTGGAGAAACAGAAAAATTGATCCAATTCAACATGCATGAGGAGCCAGAGCAGAAACACCTTGTTTTGGGACTGTGAGCTAAGAGGGGAGGTATGTAACAGGGAGACATTGTTCCCCGTTACTTGAAAACAGTGAAGGAAGAAACTTACCACACCGGCGATGAGGTGGCAGGAAAAGCAGATGTCACCAGCTGGAGTCAGGAGTGTTTACTGCACCTGTAAAACAAGAAAAGTTGATAATTGAGAACAGGAAATGACAAGGACAAAAGGAGAGAAGAACGAGCAGTAGTTCCCCAGAAGGGGAGCCTGGAGCTGTAGTAATTTGATGATGGTGCTAATTTTTGTGCAGAGGCACGAGAGCAACAGAGAGCAGTGTCTCATGAGGACTGAGGATACAGAGGCATTGCTTGAAGACAAGGGTTGGTGAACCCCAGCCAAGGTAATAAGAAATAATTAGAGACTTTGTTATAAGTTGTGGAGTGGATAACCGGACTGTAGAGACTTATCCAATTGTTCTCAACCCGAGTTGGGGGAAGAGTACAGACAAGCAAAGAAGCTGTTTTTTGTTGTCGTTGTTCTTTTTGTTCTGTTTTTTTTTTTTTTTTCCTTTTGGTTATCATTTACAATGGCAATGCTATGAGCAGGATGTGCCCACAAAAGCTGAGAACCATTGTATTTAATGTGAAGTGAGTAAACCTCAGGTCTCAGAGTTATTAAGTAGTTAAAAGATTACTTTTACAATGGCAACAATATAACAGAGTTGCCTGTGTGGGTTTTTTGTTTGTTTTGGTTTGGTTTTTTTTGTTTTCTTCAATAATTCCCAACAAGGCATGGCAGGTGAGTACACTGAGGAAGTAACTTTGAATAAAAATTTCTCTCTCTAATTAATTTAGGAATAACACTCACTCACAGGGTTCAATCATGGCCCTAGATAAGAAAGAGAGAGAGAGAGAAAGGATAAGACAACCTGAAACACACTGACCATAGACATACAAAAGGGTTAAATGCAGCCCAAGGGAGCTCTTTTCAAAGATCTGTAATTCTCAAAAGCTTTACTACTGAAGTGTCTGTGCTTAAGTCATTTCTCTGCTTGCCCTGTGTTCCTTGCTTTCATACCATGATGTCTCTGAAGGGGTTGCACTAGAAAACCAGAGGTGGAACTCCGAGGGAAAATGCATAAAGGCCTGGAAGGTACAGGCAGTCTTGCACACCATTTCAGGGTCTAGGGTAGCTGGTTGGGAGCCAACTGCATCCTAACAAAGGGCATCAGACAAAAGGTCAAAGCATAGGAAGGTGACTAGACACTATCCATCCTGGGTTAACATCACACTGTGGCAAAACTACCATTCAAGGCTCCAAAATCCTTATCGTTGGCTGCCTGGTGGTGCTGGGGCTTCCTACAGCTTCCCAGCAGCCTGGATTCCTTCCTCCTTGCCCAGTCAGGCCCTGCTCCTCCATGGAGCTCTGTTTCCTGCAGCCTGTAGAGCCAGACTGCCCCCCTTGCTTCAGGTCCTGAGCTTATATAGCTGTCTCTCTGGGTCACTTGATCCACTACTTCTGCCCCAGGCCCATCAATCACTCACTTCACTGGGGCTGGCAGCCACTTTATTCGAGGGCCCTCTGCCACTATCAGTTCGTCCAGGAGGTCAGAGCCATCCAACTGACTTTTGGCTTCCTCTATCCTTCAGTAATGGGGCGGGGGTCTATTACACACGGACATTTTAGAAAACACAAACACTTCTAATGTCTTCAGATAAGTTTGTTCAAGTCCCACCCCCAAAATGCTATCGTGTTTCTTCAAACTGGAACAAGAGCATCACTAAGTATTTATCCAATGAAAACTGATTTTCTGACCCTTTCATAACTTTTAAATAGGGCACTAAGTTGCAGTTAACCTTGTGACTGGCAAAGGAAGCTTGTAAGATTAGTTATGCTTTTCTTATGGATTGTGAAATTTAAGAGGAGAGGCTGTTTATACCCTGTACATTTTGTTTTTCTTCCAGTGGGAAAAAATCACATTTCTCTTATCCTTATTTTCTGATATTGTCAGTTAGCTAGAATTGAATTGGGTCACAGAGGTGAGTGCTACAGAGCAAGTTATTAACTATATTCCTTACCTGAGCACTGGAGACTATGATAATTATAACGGAAGGCAACTATTATGGAAGATTTAATTGGCCTTAACAATTATTACAATTTTCAATCTTTAATGGTAATTAATTAAATTGTAATTATCAAGAAGGCAAAATCACAACATCTCAGAGGGCTCATTTGTGGCTTTTCCATGAGCACTAAGCCAGAGGAATCCTTATGATCTACACCAGGAGTACAAGGATAATATAAGGCAGATTGTGACTCTCAAAAAGAGTCTGCCTCCTGGTTTCCTTCTACTCTAAACAGGGAGTACTCAATACCAATATGCCCTTTCCTATACAAAACCTATTTCCCTCCACATGCTGATGTAGCTATCTATGTATTTTGGCATGCTGCGAGGGAGAAGTTATTGCATTGCCCACTACCCATCTTGTCCCAGCCATACCTGACCACATGTATGACGTAGGGATCTAGCAGGACACAGACTTTATGCTCTTCCCTTTACTGCCACCCACAATTTAGATCACCAAGATTACTTCACTGGCTCCTGATGTAAGGTCTAAAAGAAAAAAGATTGTCCAGCCCATTGGCAATCTCCTGATGGACACAGTCACGCAGAAAAACAAATGCTCCATTTAACATCTCCCTCCAAATAACAATAATCTACAGTAGGACTGTCCAACTTCTGAGTGGGCCACATACCCTCAGGGCCATGTGCTGCTTGGGCCAAGTGCTGTGCTATGCAGTAGGCACTCCCTTGCTCTGTGTTGGCTGCCCCTGCCCTGCACACTGTGCCATGCGACTCCCCCACCATGCTGCACAGTGGCCACCCTCCTCACTGACCTGTCCTGGTGTGCTATGCCATGTTGCACCACACATGGTTCTTTGGTTCCTACAAGCCGCCCTACAACTGACTCCCTCAGCTTTGTGGACCGCACTGCTCTGCCCTACCTCCAGAGTTGGTGACAAGCAGGAGAAACAGAAGGAGGAAGGGGGAGCCTAAAAACTCCAGCAGCTGCCACTAGAGCAGTGCAAGGAACAGCATCCAGATCAGGAGCCTGGGGGCTGCAAGTTAACCCTTGGGGGTTGCATGCAGCCCGTGGGCCCCCAGTTCAATAGTGTCCTATAGTGTCTGGTTTGCACATTTACTCTGGTGGAAATCAGAAGGAACAACTGAAGTAAATAGATTTACTTCACGCTTATGTCCTGCTTTTATGGACAGCATGTCCCCTGCCCAAAAATTCTGTGAAAGGCAATTCACTTACATGTACCAAGCAGAGATTGCATATTGACTTGCATGCTGACAACTGTCAAATGGCTTGTTGAATAACTTGAAGATGAGTTTACTTTCTAACTACTTTGTTGTTTTTTGGGGGGGTTTTTTGCATTTACAGTATCTTAATGAAAACTTAAATTATAAAAAGAAAGGCAAACCTGTCAGGAGCAATCATTCAAAAACATTAAGGATTATAGGTGGGTGCCTTGAAAAAAACTAAAAACTATCAAAACTACTGATGATCTTTAGTTGAAAAGTACATGCAAGATCTTTAAAGCAGTACCACTTTTTAAAAAATCTAGGACACGACAGCCAGTACAACTTTTGCATTGTCCCACCATGATAAAGAGCTGACTCAGAAAGATGGGAGACCAGATAGCTCAGCTCCAACTCAACTTTAATGTTAAAACTGATCTAGTGTTCTCAGTCATGTCTCTTTCTTCCATCCTGGGAACTTCAAGGATGTGGAATCAAAGGCCTTCCTGGTTTTTAGGTCACATACCGTATTTACTCTGAACTCTCATGCAGCCATTTCTGCTCTTGAATTATTTATAACATATGCGCGCAGGACTGCTGCAAGTATCTCTCATTAGGCCACTTCACAATACTGTCAAGGTAAATGGGTCTCGGAGAATAAAAATAATTTGCACCCAATAAAATGTATATTGCAAATGAAGTATCAGGATGACAGATTAATTTTCCAAGGGCAAGTACTGTGTACTGCAGAATGTAACTTTTCAAGTTACTTTGCCAAGCTCTCTCTAGTTCATCACTGTTTCTAACAGCAAACAATATCAGCTGCTGCAGAGGAAGGTATAAGAAATGAAGCTCGACAAGGAAAGTCTTATCCTAAGCTCTGTTGATTGGAGATTGGTTTAAATGTTGAAAATTGAAATCCTGAATTCCTTCTAGTACATTTTACTTTTGTAGCGTAACAAAAGCATTAGCTTGTCTTTTTATTCCTCTAAATGTCCTTCTGACACTTGTAGGGCTTGGTCTCTTTTTACAGGTCTGTATAAATGTGTATGAGGGAATTTGTTTCTGCTCATCTGGCTTTCTAAATGATAGTGTCAATACAGGGTTCATGAATATATGCCTATGAAATAATAATATAAGTTTTGCCTTCGATAAAACAGTGTTTGCTAAGACTTTGCAAAGCTTCGGTTCCTGATTTGATTCTGCTCAATTTGGTGGCTGAATCCAAATTGAATCAGAGGACCCTTTAATCTCTGAATCAAATCAGAACCCTCCAAATTGATTTGGAAAGATTCAGAGATTCGGACATAGACAGAGCTTTAAATGTTTTTTCTACATACCTCTAGGTAGCAGGGGCTTGTGAATGCTGCGATGCTGGGGTGCATGGAGTGTCCCACAGGAGCGCAGGGGGGTCCCCAGAGCACTTGGCAGCAGACCCAGAAATGGATCAGAAGCACTTGCAGTCCACTTCCGGGTCCACCAGGGAGTGCGTGGGGGGGCCCCCTGCACCCTCCCAGCTCAGTGACTGTTGCCTCCTGGGTCTGAAGGGGGCACCTGGCATCCCCCTGCGACCAATCGCCAAGCTGGGAAGGCGTGGGGAGGGAGGGGCCCAGTGTGGTATCTGGCAGACCCGGAAGTGGACCAGAAGTACTTGCAGTCCACTTCCGGGTTCACCACCTAGGACGTGGAGGCTCCCCCACACTCCTGTGGCACGCTCCATGTGCCCCAGCATCACAGTGTTCACAAGCCACGCTTGCTATCTCAAGGTATGTAGAAAAAACTTTTAAAGCGGTGTCAATGTCCGAATCAGCATCAAATC